CAGCAAAACTTTCATTTTATCCCTAGGCCTGCTATTCGAAAAAATCCCCCGTTGTGATCACAGGGTTATCACTGCCCCACGACACGAAAAATCAACCCCTCCGACGCCATGAAACCTCCGGTTGGTTTAAAGACTTGTGTATGCTTCTAAAACGCATGTTTTCGCCAAGGATATCAGGAAATAGTTCATTGGGCGCCAATTGGCATCACCTCTGCAATGCGCCATGCATAGCGCTTTCACGCAGAGCTATTGGGAAGGTGCAACTTCTAGAAAGGGCTTCCTCCGTGCAAGTAGATGTGCTTCTGCAATAGAAAGGTGCGGAAGTGTACTTTCATCTGTTTATTAGTTCATGGCGGATATTCATTGGCGCGGAGGTGGTGTAGTGACAAGTGGCGCGCTTACCACTCGCGCGATGCCGGGTTCAAATCCCGAGTCGACTCTCGCCCAGGCCAACCAAGCCTTCTACGGTAAGATGGTACCAGATTCGTCTGGGAGGATAAAACACTGACTTGTACATCGGCTGGCCACCGCAAGTCATTGTATAGGCCACATCGCATTCAATAAGCCACTACGATTCTGAATGGAAGTAGAATGCGTGCCGCATCCCACAAAGGGGTTGATCAACGGCGGAGACTTTATCCTTTATCTTTTTTTTTATTAATTCATGACGTCGTTGTGGGAGGCCATCGTATTTCCTGTCATCGCCCGTTCCCCACTTCTGCGCTGGCAGGTTGCTTCTGTCTTGTGTGGGTCTCTTCAGAGGTTCTTCACATGGATAAGTCTTTCATCATTGAAGCTGAACGACATCTGGGTATCGCTGCACCCTCACTTCAGAAAGGTCCCCGCGCTTACGACCCCCCCCCCCCTCGAGGTCAAATACGACCCCCCTGTTGTGATGATCACAACGATGGCTTGCCTGATTAGAGCACGAGACGTCAACTTGACAACACACCGCACAGAGGGTCTTTTATAGACCAGAGAAGACCTATCACTGCATTAGACTATGAGTGTAAACACCCTGTCATGCTAGCAGAATAGGAGTTCTGAGGAACGACCTCATGAGCTCTTAGCAGCCTACTGTAGCAAATTTTGAAAGCTTGTTGGAATTACAAAGAATACTCAGCGTTTAGCGATTTTCATGATACACCATGCCCGGTAGTGGTGAAATTCGCTTGTTCGTTATACGTGATAGCCGGGATGTCAGGGAGACGTGATGTGGGTTCGAGCGGAAAAAGAGTGCAGTTGTTTCACGCAGGGCGCGCCATCGTTGCCATCATCGCCACAGGGGGGGGGAGGGTCGTACTAGATCTCGAGGGAAGGGGGATGCTCAGACCATTTCTGAAGTGGGGAGTGCAACGATACTCAGATGTCGTTCAGCTTCAATGATGAAAGACTTATGTGAAGAACACCTGAAGAGACACAAGACAGAAGCAACCTGCCAGCGCAGAAGTGGGGAACGGGCGATGACAGGAAATACGATGGCCGCCCACAACGACGTCATGAATTAATAAACAGATGAAAATACACTTCCGGACCTTTCTGATCGCAGGGGCACATCTTCTTGCACGAAGGACTATATAAAAGTTGCACCTTCCCAGTACCTCTGGTGAGAGCCCTATGCATGGCGCATTACAGAGGTGATGCCAATCGGCGCCGAGTGAACTATTTCCTGATACCCTTGGCGAAAACATGTGTTTTAGAAGCATACCAAAGTCTTCAAACGAACTGGAAGTGGTATGGGTCGGAGGGGTGGGTTTTTCGTGTCTTCTGAAAGGGGTTACAACGGGGGATTTTTTTTCCGAATAGCAGGACTAGGGATAGAATGAAAGTCTTGTTGGCAAGTAGGAACGTTCGAACTTCCGTCCTGCTTTTGTTTTACAGATGATCTTGTATGAAGCTTGTTATGGCTATTCCAAGCGTAAAAACTTGTAAATGATCTCCAAATGTCACAACGGGATCAGCAGCTGAAAAAGATACTTTTAAAATCGCTCAAACCTAGATAAAAAGTGTCAACCTAGTGCTTCACAACCTTGCTCTACTCAGAAGCTCCACTCTCGAAGAAGTTATGGGTGTTCAGGCGAAGGGTACTTCCTGAGTGTTTAGCTTGGAAAAGGATTCGGATCGTGAAATAGCTCGCTCAATGCCACGGTACAAAGCGCTAACTAAGGTGCTCTAACTCAGATCTCAACTTATGATGACCGCGAACAATTAATGTTCAAGTATTGGCACATGGATTTTCTGTTTTTTTCTTTCTTTTTCATGTCTTATTATGGTTCATTTATGGTTCATTATTTTTGTTTATTTATTTATGATTTATTATGGCTCATTTTCTTCGCGTTTCTCACATTTATCCTTGATTACCGTCACATCTTTTTTTTTGTCTTTTGTTCTCGCTGAACTTACATTTTTTCGGTGTTTGTCCGCTGCTACCAGATTAGCAGTGGACAGGGGGGAGGGGCGTATTTCTTAGAGGGAGGGAGGGGGGGGGCGTATGTAGCAGGAATTTATCGCAACGCGATCGTGCCCTGGTTTCACGTGGCTTGAAAATATAAGAGAAGGGTTTGCAAAGTGAGACCATGTGAATACTATGTCTATAAATTGGCCCGAGGGGTATTCTGACCTGAACACAATCGAACACCGACTTGAACTGAAGACACCTGCCATCTGCGTCACAGGCCACAGCAATACCTGCCTGTGTTGAAGCCACCGCCTGTGGTGCAACGCTAGCGTTTCGTTCCAGGCGATTTCCTTACAGGATAAGATGTTCATACAAATGAAGGTTCCGGCGGTTAAATGCAGTGCACTCAACAGGGTCAAGCATCACGTTGAGGAAAATTGCCCTATCGGTACTTCTCTAAACTTGACTACTCAGAAGACTTATTTTTTGTTTTGTTTCAGTTGTGTTACATCTTAGAGTTGGAGCACTGCCTCACCCCACGTTGCCACCACTGTTTTATGAAGATTTTTCGAAATGTTGTGAATTTCCTCGGAAACAGCATTTGGCAATGCTGTAGAGGGGGCTCGTGATCACTGGCAATTTTCCGGAACCGGAAGCTGTCAAAGTGGTCAGGAAGGAGGTGTTACGGCTTCGCTCAAAAAGAAACGAGGAAGATTTCTAGAGAATAAGATTTCCTGTTTTAAGAATCTTGTCTACTATTTGGAAAAAGTCCATCGTTGAAGAGTTTTCCCCTATCTAGTGACGAAAATTCCCTGTTTTTTTTTGTTCCTGCGCCAGTTCAACTTTCTGGGGCCGTAACTTGCGTAATGAAGGGCCCAGTACAAAACAAAAACCTGTGTGTAAGAGAAGAGGATGAAATTTCAGATGACATCATATCTTGCGAAAGAGTCCGTCATTTGAAAAAATTCGCCGTTGAGGATTTTTTCCGGTGGCGAGAGGAGTGCCTTCTGCTCGCGGGTTGCCACTCTTCACGATGTCATAACTTCGTTAATACATAACTTTTGGAGGAGGTTTGAAAAAAAGTGCTATGCACCGATGGATTGGCGTTTCTTAGTACGCACTGAGTTTCCTGCTACAGCTCAATCACATGGCGAGAAATGCTGCTGCAAATCGTAAGAGTATATAATGGTTTTTCGAGCTGTAGAAGTGAATATTTCTATTTCTCCCATGCATCCTTCTAGAAGCCACGGAATACCTATAGAACATTTCTTTTACCTGTAGTTAATGTCAGATGATGGGCAGAGAGGTTGATAGGCTCAGCCGCGGGGTGCGCCACGCACGCGACCTCTTTCACATTCCTGTTAACACTCAAAGCCATGTTGCTCCATGAAACAGCTGTCCGTTTTGATTACACAATCTCCGGAATTTATAGCGTGTAAGTGAGCTTTCGTGATGAGATAAGTTTTTTTAGAGCCACCGCTTCAGTTCCGCTATAAAGTCTTGTCCAAGTTCTGATGATTCTTCCAAATACAAATACGACTTCCCCCTTGCAGGCTCCCTGGCTGAGCGGTCCTCTTCGGATTCGTGACTCTGGCACTTGATACTAGAGCACATTGGAACATAGAAGACATCTATGAAGAAACAGTTGAGTTATGATGTAAAGACGAGAACCGCATGTTTTTGACTACTAAATATAAGCAGTTTTATGTCCACACTAACATTCTTCGACAAATGGCCATTCCGTGAATGCTTGCCTCCTGAGGAATCGTCTCCGTCGTTATTCGTCGCTTCAGCCCTCATGCACTGTTTCCCACCTTGAAAAGCGTACCTGTATTGAAGATTAATCTCGATCTGTTCGCTCTGCCTTTGTTACAGCTGTCCAAGAAAAGCTTTCAAAGGAGAACCTAAGGTGATATCACGGCTAATTTAACCAATTTGCTACCTCACTGAAGCAGTTGCTCACAAACATTTGGGAAATTCGGCGTCCCTGACATGGAGAGGCTTGAGAGGGAGGTGTTGCTTCCTCACATCACGCCACACGACTCCATCACACTTATTGAGGACAAAACCCTGTTTAATGAAGAAGATAAGTCCAACTCCGGGTACGCTGTCGTGCTTGCCAGTGCGAATCAAGGAACTGATGAGCAGAGTGGATGTTCTCGTTTTCGTGCCACATTTACTTTGTTACCATATTTATGATGCGATATGCAGTGTTTAAGCTGCACTCATCAGAAGCTGAGGCCTGGGAAGTGTATTATTTGGAAGAAAAAACCAGCTAGAATTTGTATATCAATTGTCAGCGAGTTCCTTGAGTCGAAGCTACCTGTACCTTATGTCCCAATTTGATTATATTAGTAACATTTTTAAGTTTACTTTCATATTCAACATCTTGTTTAGGGTCGTCATGTCAAAACAGCACAGCTAGCTGCTATCAAAATAATGAACATCAATGAGGATGAAGAGGAGGAGATCAAGCTTGAAATAAACATGTTAAAAAAGGTACGCTATATAACTATCAAGGAGGACTTTTTCGTGTCATTCCGTCCGTTTACTAGTAAGTGAACATTGGTACGAATCCTGCTTTGCAAGATGCAAGGCAACCTCAATTCAGCACAAGAACGTTGAGCTTGACTGTGAACTGACCTCCGTTACCGAGAGGTGATTGGGCTACCTTTAAATCAGCAATCGACTGAAAAGAGTCGGTAGATCAGGACAAGTGATTGTTATATATTTCAAGAATAAGGACAAAAACAGGAACATAGAAAACGAAGATTCACCCAGAGCCTCACAAAGTAATACAAATTGTTATGCAGATAACGTGGGAGCTACCATAAGGTCATCACCTATAACAAACTCGTCCGATGGAATGCAGAGGCATTTGGCGGGATGTAAGGCGACATGACTATTTTGTTGCTGTTGTTTACCGACGTGCGTAGTCTGATTCAGATCATTAGCCCATGTCAGAAATCTTTAGATGAATTTTTCGTACTTTCTCAGTTCTGAATGTTCGAAGTTATGAGAAGAATTATTGATGGTCGGTTAATGGGTAAGAAGGCAATGTTTCTCTTTGGTGGGGGGGGGGGAGCCAGTTCATTTTGAGTGGTCACATAACATGGAGCGGTTGAACACGGCAATTACCGGTTGTGGTTTAGAGCAGACCAGTACCTGTGGAACCCGCCATGTATTCGCATTCCACTATGGATCTCAGAAGCGTTCGAGTACGAGCTAGAGCTCTAACATAAGAAACCCTTAACGTTGCCGACCGCTTCCGTTATGACACATCTAAGTTTGAATGTGCGATTTTCCAGTTTTGCATTTATGAAGTCATATATAGCAATGTCCTGCCGCCGTGCTGATTCCATCAATTGCTGCAGTACGTTGCACAAAAACTTGCATGTTTAATCAGAGTAGCTCCCTAGGTTTCAGTCTCATTTCCAGATACTATGGCTTTACAAAGATTAAGGCTATAATATCTTGAAATAAGCGACGAGCTATAAGCGCATCAGAGGGTTCATTGAACATCGGTGTTTTTATAGGCCTATGGTTGGATATGGAGAACTCGCTATGCGTTCTCCATATCCAACGATAGGCCTGGAAGAACACCAATGTCCGATGAACCGTCTGATGCGTTTGTTGCCGACTGAAATTGTACAGCTGCTGAAGGACTATTTCGATCCATCAAGAAAAGTACTGAATGCAATGATACAACTGCTCCCTATTACGTGTCCACTCGAAATGGAAGTGGTTACGTTTTGTTCATACCGTTGCCTACAAATTCTAAAAATGCCGCCTGAATGCCACACCACCCATTGTAACTAACAAGGGAGGTGTTTCAGGTCGTGGCGCGCTTTTTGGAAATGGTTGCTTGTTGTAGGGGTCCATACAAGGGTCACAAAAATGGGTTTCATTTTTGCTATGCGTTTCTGGGTAGGTCAAAAACTGAGTGAAAAGAATTTGACAGGAATGGGCGGTTTTAACAATGTTAATGGGCTCCGTTCTGCTTGTAACTTCGAGCATGCATTGTTTATGAGGTGCTCATTAATTAGGCCTTGAAAATAGATTTAAATAAGCAAAATGTAAGAATCATGTAGTAACACACTTGCCATGCACCAGCGCAAGGGCGGTGTTTTGTGAGCGGGCCCTTTCACGACCACTGCCGGTGGATCGGATGGCGCAGCGGATAACACGACGGATTCTGGATGGGACGACAATGCGGAACTTTGTGGATCGAGTCCACTTTGCGGGGAATTTTTGCATTTTTCAGCTTTCCAGTAAGCCATGTATCTGCCATTTGGAGACATATTCTTCATGCTGAAACCTTACAAACCAGCTCGGTTGTGTGGAGAAGCTTGTTTCCGGGAATGAAGTCGTCTCGTTGCGCTAACCTTTCCCTTTATTGATAGACAAATCTAACAACTATGGCAAAGTTCAACAAAACATGTGAAGCATATGCATTTAGTGCACCAACTACACCTAACAAAGGCCAGAGAAGAACAATTACTGCTATCTTGACAAGGGACGACAACATCTCCTTCGTTGAAACCGAAGTCGGTCGGTGTTGAAAACGGTCCAGGATGCTCTTCGACATACCAGCGGCCACCCAGGCGTACGCAATACATGGGCGAAATCTGGGGGCGCAAAACTGCCGGTACGTCTGGCTGATGACCTACACGGAAAGTTGCTGGCAACTTGTTAACATACCCGAGAAAGGCATCTCACCTTCAAAATATTGTCCCTGCTATACGCGAAATCCGACTGATGATGTATCACGTGGTCGTGAATGCGTCGGATGTATCGCTTAAATAAGCGGAAGAAGTAGACGTCGAGAGGCTGACAGAGGGAAGTTGCCCCTGCAGGGATGGTCATCAAACGAAGCTCCTTCCCTGGGGGTACTTCTGACAGCACATTAGCGTGGTCGGTAAACCCAGCCCAACTATCGACAAGGAGAATAGTCACTGGAGGTGAACTTTGACCCAACCACACACTCCTTGACGAAAGTCGGGACCTGGGACTTTGTCATGATGTGCGTCTTCCCAGCCATCACCAGCAGGTTGGGTGCCTGCCAATGCCCGCACTGTGGAAAGACATCCTCCCTTTCGGGAAGAATGACAAGAAGCTTGTCCCCAAGCCGCCCATCGGGCTGAACTGCTCTCACCACCTGTTTGGATCCGACTGGAGCTAGGGTTCTGAAACAGTTGCCACCATTGTAGTAGAGTATCGAAATGTTAACTTGAAGAGTGTTCTTTGTAAAGCATACCTCTTCGAAGCTATCTCCCTGTTTATACCTGTCTGATCTGCGTTGGCGAACACAGAAGGGGGTATTTTTTCATTTCCTCCCTGACCCTCTTGACGAAACCATCGGCGGCCGCTTCCACATCATCTTTAGAACGTAAGGTGGCTGTGGTGACAAATCGCGTCACCTTTCTAGAGCGTAGACCACACTCGCGCACGAATTTGCCTATCCATGACTTTGATGCCTTGAAGTCATCAACAAGATTGTGCTCCGAGTTTAATCGAATTGCCGTATGCCGAATTATAGCATAAGACAAAGGGAGCCCTAGAATGGCAGTACTAGCTGGTACCAAACATTTTTCGTGACCTCTCAAAAACAAACATTTCAAGCTGTACCTTGTTCCGTAGCTTCCAGCACGCTCTCACGGACAAGGGCAGACAGCCGTTTGAAGCTATTGACCCTCGATTCTTCAATCGCCGCTGAATAAAGCAGACGTGAACTTCGAACGATATGCTATCTATAGAAAGGAGAAGGATACCCTTCTTTTCGATTTCTCGAAGTAATTCATATGATGTGCCCGTTTTATCCATCGGAAGCGGTTCATCATAGCCGACAAAGGTCGGCTCCCTTTGTCCGTATCACGGTAGAATTCAATGGCGCGCTTGATCTGCGATATACGGGGATAATACTATAAGCCTATGGTGCAGCTAACAACTAACCATATCCTCTGGAATAGGTTTTCCGTCGAAGAGAATGCACTTCTGATCAGGGAGGACATCACTGCACGGCCGTTGTCGTCATCGTCATTAGGGGTCCAGTCGACTTCTGATTCTTCATCCAAATGCACCTATGAACTGCCGTAATGGGAAAATTGAAAAACTCGTGATCCCTGGTATGTGACGATATGTCCATATATACGCTCAATCTAACCTGGAGCGATTCTTCCTCCTCCTCACACTCGATGTCGCCATTTGATGCGCTCTGGAGAATGCCTTTGAAGGCGTCAGCGATCGCGATTTCTTTCCTCGTTGGAGGTGAAAAATCCGGAGTAAAGGACGACAGAAGACGTCCGATCACTCTAGCAGGCGAGAAGACATATTGGGATGGAGTAATGTTAGGATGGAGTAGGGTTTGCATCATCGCTTATATTGATGTGATCAACAGCTTCCAGTAGATCAAAAAGATCTCCAGCATCCTGGACGGACGACATCAACGAAGGAGATGTTGTCGTCCCTTGTCAAGAAGGCAGTAATTAATCTTCTCTGGCGTTTGTTAGGTGTAGTTGGTCTTGTTTTGTTGAACTTTGCCATAGTTGTTAGATTTGTCTATCAATAAAAGGGAAGTTTAGCGCAACGAGACGACTTCATTCCCGGAAACAAGCTTCTCCACACAACCGAGCTGGTTTGTAAGGTTTCAGCATGAAGAATATGCCTCCAAATGGCATATACTTGGCTTATTTCCACTGCCAGACACACAGGAACGCAAATGAATGGAAAGCTGAAAAATGCAAAAAATTTCCCGCAAGGAGGATCCGATCCACAAAGTCCCGCATTGCCGTCCCATCCAGAATCCGTCGTGTTATCCGCTGCGCCATCCGATCCACCGGCAGTGGTCGTGAAGGGCCCGCTGACAAAACACCGCCCTTGCGTTGGTGCATGGCAAGTGTGTTACTACATGATTCTTACATTTTGCTTATTTCAAATCTATTTTCAAGGCCTAATTAATGACACCTCATAAACTATGCATGCTCGAAGTTACAAGCAGAACGGAGCCCATTAACATTGTTAAAACCGCCCATTCCTGTCAAATTCTTTTCACTCAGTTTTTGACCTACCCAGAAACGCATAGCAAAAATGAAACCCATTTTTGTGACCCTTGTATGGACCCCTACAACAAGCAACAAACCATTTCCAAAAAGCGCGCCATGACCTGAAACACCTCCCTTGTAAGTGATACTAACATTCCAGTCCGTCTTCCGATATTTTTCGTCTTCTATCTTCGCTTCATATTCTTTTCCTAATTTACTAGCCCTTCAAGTTATTTTATGTTGGTTTAGTGTTTTTCAATACAATTGCCTTTCTTTTTTCCATTTGCTAAAAGCTCAATAGCCTTCAATTAAGTGAGGTCACTTTGCAGTTGAACATACGTCTCCGTGTAATGGAGATCGTTTCGCAACTTGTCAAGCCTCTGTACGAAACATGTTTAACAGTGTGAGAAGAAGGACTACTCTTGCCGATGTTTACCTACCTTCTGTTTACAACTGCAGTTCAAGAAAACAGCAAAACTTTCGGGACGTGAAGCCCTTTATCGAGAGGGTTTCTCATGATACAGTGTTTTTAAAGGATTCCGTGAACCACACAAAGAAAAGGGGAAAAAATTTTCCGGGAGAAGACGGTTCAGTCCGCTCTGTTCAATGTGTGTAATATAACATTGGTAACTTTCAAGTCAAGTTTTTTCTTTACTATTCATAACATCTTTGCGGGGAATAGTTACAGATGAGCGACTTTTCTTGAATGTGGTGAAAAAGGGTCATACTCACTCTACACAACAAAGGCAATGGGGTGCTCAATGCAGCGGTCTCTCACTAGAACATAAGCTGGCGAGGTTAAGGTTCAGCTTCCATTTGTGACAAACTTTTGCATTACTTAGGTTTCACGAGAGTGCTGAGTTATGGGCAAAAAGTTAACCCCAAGCATGGTTTACCCCCCCCCCCCCTCCCCCCTCACGCTTTCCGAGAGAGTGCGCTTTCCTTGACGTCAGCAGAGCCGCTCTTACCCTTAATGGGTTTTGTGTCGTAGCCTTACAGAACTCGAACGTTAAAGTGACATCAGCCCGGGGCAGCTAATATGAGCAGTGAACTGCTAGGCTTAAGGCTTTACATGTCTTGAACTTACGGGCAAAAGTTTCTCATAGGGTCAAAGCTCTTGCTAATAAATCAACGTTCTTGTGACAACCTTCTGGGCATAGACTGCTTCATTAAGCAGCACTTATCATAGTAAACAATGAGTTTCTATCTCCCTGCTTTGTAGTAAATGTCCCTCCCCCTCCTGTAGATATAAGGTGGATACACGTTGTTCGAGGGTAAGATCCACAGTTCACAGTAACCGTGAGAAATTTGAAACAAACCTAAAAATCGCAGTTCTCTTGCATATTCAGTGAACGTTACACCAATCACTAGAGATCCAACAAAATGTTAGGTTGAGGGACTATTAGACCGTCCTGTCTTCATTTTCTTTTTCTCGATCGTCGTTTATCTCATGACAGCGGCGTTTGAAGACCTAGTTCCGGTGCATCGGTCTATACCACCTTCATTTCGTGTTCTTCACTGCAAAGTTTCTCTGGAATGTGAGCGATTAGAAAGCCGAGCTGCACGCGTGCATATACTACCACCTCATAGGAAGGCAAGGCACCCCTGAATGTCAGGTGCTGGGCAACGTCTCTCAGTAGAAGGCAGGCAAGAGAGGATGGCCAGGACCAAAAATGATCCTGGCACTGTCGGAACTGACACGCGAATTCAGAGATTGGCGATCACCCTTGGTTACCCCTGGCTAGGTGAACCACTCACGTCTCACAGAGAAGGCGACTGTTACTCATATCCATGCCATGGAAGTGAATCGAGAACGAAATTCGGAGCCGCACCATGTTAGTATTGTGCCCAAAGCAGCCTCGACGGAAATTAGGGCGAAGCAATGAGGACATCGTTCAGCAGAAGAAAAGCGAGCTCAGAAATCTTTCTCATGTGCCCATCTAGCCAGGGAAGGTCAACTGGTCGCCATGACCACTCAACATGGGATACATTCCGGCGTGTACGTCTCGGGACGCTAAGCAATCTGCTTCCGAATTTGCGGAAAAATTCTCTAGGAGGGGTCAGAGGGAGGGGAGGGAGGGAGAGTGAACATAGCACTCGTCGATCCTCTCTTGTTGTAGCTCTCATGTTCGGGAGTAAATAGGGCCGAATGGTTGATGGTGTAGGTAACTTGTTCTTCCGTAGATGAGAGGTCAGGGGTTTCTATTCCTTGACAGGCTCCCTTTTTTCTTTTTTCCAAACCCTCTATGATTCCAGAAAGTGCTTTTATTCCGTTGTTTTGACAAGCTTGCCTCTATCGCAGCAGAAAGTGAGCCGAAGGACAGCATTTTCTCAATTGTGTTACCTTCAAGACTTCAGGAGTCAAGAGACAAAGTTATGCAGTTTTTGGATGGTACATGAATGATCAAGCTACAATTATTCAAGAGCACATGGTGTTCCCTCACGAAATCAGAACAAAGCACCTTGAGCACAGCCAATGAAACCGCTCGAAACCGCTGCTTCTCGAATGGAATTTGAGCGAGCACAGAGGAGATTCTGCGGATGTCATGCAACAAAGAACTCTCCCGTAGCTCCTAGAGAGTCGCTCCGCAAATTCTAAAAGCAGTTTCGAATTGAGCGTCATGAGACGCACGCCGATAAGCATCCCATCTTGAATGGCCATGGCGAACTGTTGACCTTTCTTATCGTGTTCTTGTTCCCTTTCGTTCGTTCCTGTCGATGCAACGCACTGCCTAAGAAAAATTTGAAATATCGAAGCAACTGCTTTTGCTCAAAGCCAGTAGAATTCTGCGTGAGGCACAACCATCATTCGTGGAAGAATAGCGCAGAATCAGTGACGATAACAGAGTAATAATATTAATATCCTATATCCTTACATTCTATAAACCACTAACTCTGTGTGTCGGTTTGTCGGTATGTAAGTATGTATGTATGTATGTCTGTCCGTCCGCAAAATGCTTCACGGGTTAGAATTAGTGGAAGGAAGAACGACCGCTAAGCAAACCGGAAACCGATTGGTGCAGATGTATCAATCCAATGTTTTGATTGTGATAACAGCCTCCGCTATATAAGACAACCATTCGGTACACTCCGAGCCATTGCACGAGGCGTGGCAGCTGGACGTGTGCTCGTGCGGGGGCAGGGTGGGGTCCTTCCTTTGCACATGCTCAGGTCCAGCTGAACACGTGCAGGGGAAGGAGGGTAGGGGTGACTCGGTGTCCCCCCCCCCCTTGGCTCCACCCCA